CGACTGCTACTACAGGGAGTTTTTAATGTTTTCTGATTATGGAGCAGTATTCATTATTATGCCTTTTAAGATAGGGCAACTTTATTTTTACATCCTTTTTTTGAAATATACGTGAGTATCCTTTGAGAGACGCTGGCATTGACAAAACGGCTAAGAATTTACTAAAGTATTATGACAAAGAATGGAAAATCAGAGGAATGTATCTGGACAGATTTGGCAGATTTTTTAATGATTTTTTTTTCACCCCCATTTCTTCTTCAGACAAATGCAGAGTTCTGCACTGGGCACGCCATCAAATTCTCTGGTCTAGCATATGGCTCATCAAGTCATCTTTCTTGTGCTCTTAAACTTTTCCTCCTGTTCCCATCTTCCTCCCTCTGTCCTTGCTCTGAAGCACAATTTATTATCTCCTTTCTCTCTGTCTTCATGTCCCAGGTTTACTCATCTCATTATATCTTCTGGTGCCAGAAAAGATGCTGTTGGTTTTTCATGTGGTGTTAAGAGGTGGTGATATCACAAACACTGTTTGCCTGGCTCGCTGTAAGCCTATTAATGCATCCATCAGCTTGCTGCTGTTTTTGGTGAAAGTCCATTCTACATTCTCTTCTATGACTTCTTATTTGTTTCCCATAGGGTGTTTTGTACGTTTTAATCTGTTGAGCATCAAAGATAAGTAATATTCTGGGGATACTTGCTGACAGCTGACTTAAAGTGTAAATTACAATGCTGATTTAAAGTCCAAACTTAAAACAAATGCAGGTAGTGTAGGTGTGAACTCATTTCCCAGAATAATTGTGGATGCTAAGAGTCTGCATAAGTTCAAAAGTGCCCAGGCAAGTACATGGAAGCAAAATCCACTAAGAGCTAAAAAGCGTCCCAAAGGCATCATTGCTAGCTTATGAAAACTCTAGGCTGCAGATTACAGGACTCTGAGTCTGTTCTCCAAGTTCTAGCACTGTGGTTTTGCTGTGGACTTATATGCTTCCCTTGGCCGCTGTTGACCACAGAATACTAGACTATTTGGTCTTTCGCCTTAAGCTGGTGCAGCTGCTCTTTTCTGGCCTGACTGATTAACTTTGTGCTTAGAATACCTGTTTCTCATTTCATTTCCACTTTATCTATGATTACAATGTAGGAATACAGGACTACAGCCATTCCTGGGTCACTTTTTTCAGACCCTTTCCTCATTGGCAACTGAGCCTAACAGCCCCATTATAAGCAATTCAGGCTCCCTTTTCAAAGTCATTAGATTGTTTGTCCCATTGCTGCCAAGAGGATGTTTCAGAGCTTCATTTTCCAGTGCTTAAAAACCATCCATTAATTTTCAGTTGAAATTTATTCATGGCCACGTTAAATCCATTTGTCCTTGTGCCAACTTTGTTCTTTAGCTTAAGTAGCTCTCTACCTTCCTCAGTGTTTATTTCTCCCCCACCCAGTGTGTCTATGGAGAACAATCAAGTTGCCTCTCAACCATCATTTTGCTAAGATGACAAAACTGTGATCTTTTAGACTCCTCATGAGATATGTCTCTGTTACCATAATGATTTCCTTAGCGCTTTTCTGCACGGTTCCTTCTAAGTACTGCACACAGTTATTCAGGTGAAGCCTTGTATGAAAACATTCATGCTTTCCTTTCTCCACTGGCAGTGGCTTTCCTGAGACCTTATCTGTCCTTTTCATGGTTGTCACCCTGCTGGGTTGTGCTTGTCCTCATCCTCTAATGGGCTCATATATCCAGGGTGTCCTTCTACTCATTTCCAAATTATTAGCCCCTGCTCACAACTGCAATTTTTATTAAACTCTAAATGTATAACCTTGCACTTTGACTATTGCATTTCATCACATTTCTATTGCTTCAGAACTCAAGAACATCCTGTTACTCCTGAAAGATATTCCATACTCCCTGCTATTGGCAGCAGCTCCTGACTTCACATGGTCAGCAGATTTTGTTAGTATACTCTGACTTTTTGTGCCAAGGTCATTAATGAAAAGATAAAATAAGATCAGTCTAAAAACATCCTTGAGGACTTCCACACATAACTTCCCTCCAGACTAATAATTCGTCTTTCAGCACAACTCCTGTCATTGCCTCTTTAACCAATTCCTTACCCACGTTGCAATTCTTACACTAATCTCTGTGTTCCCCAGCTTGGCTAATAATTTCCAGTGTTGCACCATATCAAATGCTTTACTGAAGTACAGATAAATTAGATCTATCACGTTTCCCTTGTCTAGAAAAATCAGTTATCTTATCAAAGAAAAGTATCAAGTTAGGTTGTCTTGATCTGGTCTTGGGAAGCCCATTTTATCCCTTAAATCTGTTTTATCTGTTTTGCAGTTTACGATCATGTCTTTAATTTTTTTTTTTTTTTTTTTATTCAAAATTTGTTCTAAAGCAATGCATCCTATTGAGGTCAGTCTACTGGATGTGCACCTACTTATGACTAACTGTAGAGTACATGCTGTAGGACATACAGAACACTGCATATTGCTTATGCCAAAACCCCTGTGACGAATTGCAGTACTTGAAGAGATGAAATGTACTAGTTTGGTTCCACTTTATTTTATTGCAATACTATGTACAGGCATGGACTGAGATGAGGATGTGTCTAGGCTGTCAGCCTGGGATGTGGGAAATCCAGCTAGCTACAGCTGCAGGTATGAAATATTGCTTCAGAAGTAGGTGATGATTATGAAAATTTCTGATTCTGCTGAGTGGTGGTGCTGGGTGATACCACCTTTCCCGCCTCCCGCCCCCCCAAACATGTCTGAATCTTCCATCCCACAGTACTTCTGGGTGGATTTACTTACATCTTTATGATAGTCTTGGGTTTCTCAGCTTTACAAGCAAAGCAGTTGTAAACCTGTTCTACCAGGTCACATCAACAGCACAAATAGCTCTTACCCCTCAACTCAGAGCAGACCAGCTCATTCCAAGCCTGGCAAAGAGAAGTGACCAGTGGTGGTTAAGGCTCTTGATCGATTGGCTGTGGTATGGACAGGAAGAGTTTAGGTCTTCTGGGGCAAGTATGATGAGGAATTAGAGAGGATGGAGACTCAAAGATAGTAGGAATAGGAGATTACGCTATCTGAGAACATGGTTTGGGAGGTCTGAGGACCTCTGAGGATGAATGAAGTTGTCTGTATACAATGTGGTTTACAGACCCAGAAAAAGTATTGGTGAATCCAGATTTGCTGATTGATTGGTTGATGCAGGGGGATTGCTGGCAGTGTTGACATTATGACAGTGGTGTAACTCTACTGAAACTCTTTGCAGTCCTCACAAGCACTGCCAAAACAAACTAGATGCCTATAGAAAATCCTTAGATCTCTTCTGCTTGGAGGCAGAAATGCTCCGGTCCTTCCTTCATTGCTCTACTCTTCTGGCATGTGATTGAGACATCACCTTAAGCCTGCAAATCTAGGTATGTAATGTAGTCTCCTTTACAAGATACGTACTTGAGTGAGAGCTTTGGGACATGCTCTGGATGGAATTTTAACTTGCTTAGAGCTGTTTACCTTTTTCTAAACTTTAAGCTCAGGGAAAGACTGAGTGATCAGTGACTGTAGTGTATCCCTTTTTTGAGCATGCTGGATAGCTGATGGATGACAGTATTCCTCCCACCAACTGAATGATTGCACTTTAGATGAAGTTAAAGAAGCAGTGAGAGCATGACTATGCTTCCATTGGTGAGATTTTTAGCTACTGATTTCCTGTTCTCTCTGTATTTGTGTGTGTTTCTTTTGCAGTTTGTAATGCTGTTGTTGAGCTCTGACAGATTCATTATGAGAAAGTGACATTAGATAGGGATGTCGACCCAACATCATCAAGAACTAGCGTTTGAATCTTTCTTAGTCTCAGCTGCTGTTAGGGCACACAATGAACAGCAGCTTGATGAAAAAAAATACTTATTTTTTGCTGCAGGATGATAATTGGCTCAGTATGAAAGTTAATACGATTTTATTTGGGGATTGGTTTGTAAAGAGATTACATTTTAAGGAATCCTTGGGCATGGAGGTTTTTTGTAGCTGTATTTATTTAATCAGCTGTGGGCACTTGAAACTTCACAGCAGTAAGCCAGGTTAGAACATGGATCTTCTTACTCCAGCAGAACATGACTGGAAAAGAAAGTCTTCTATGGGGCTAGTGGGATGGAGATTATACCACGCAAAGAAGAAACTTACCTCCAGATGGTGGGGAGCAAGGATGTCTCAGTTCAGCTTTTCAAGCTGCAAATGTTAGTGACCAGCTCCTGTTCAAACCAGTGTTATGCTGACTCAGGCAGGTTGAGTTGCTTGCCTGGACATTGAAATGATGCAGAAAGTCAACAGAAATCTATGTATTATCTCTCCCATCTAGCTATTTACTCTCTAAGCTCTGTGGGGTGAGCAGTCTTGCCACAGAGCTTTAGCATCTTTCTTACAAGTCCTGATCTGAGAGGGGACCTCTATGTGCCACTGCAATGCAAGACATTGTTATAATTTTAAAAAATTAAGTTTTCTTTTGAGTTGAAGCTGGTGGGAGGGAAGACGAGGGTGAACCTTGTTTTTGGAAAATGGAGAAGGGAGTAGAATTTGGCTGGAAATACTGACATGGGTGTCCCAGCTTGATGCAGAAGTTATCATCTACTGATGTAGATAGAAGCACTGGTGTCTGAAGTAGGCATGTGCTGAGTCTCTGAAAGAAAGAAATAGCTCTGGAGCAGCAGTTTAAAAACTTGCTTCATTACTTTGGATGTGTGGGTGTTGCTTTAAATTTAATGGTCACTACAAATCAGTGTAACACTGAAGCTAGAAGGCTAATGGTCTTTTAGAATAACTGAGTCAGCTGCAGAGACTGGATCCTCTGCTGGTGTAAAACATTGCAGTTCTGTCAAAGTCCATCATAAGCTGTCAGTTTAGACCAACTGGGAAGCCTGGTCCAGAAGACTGTGAAGATGAAGATTACAAAAATTATTGAAGAAATTGACATTATTTCTTCATCTGTCTTCTTTCCCCAGGGCAGCCATTGAGGCTCTGGCAGCTTTGCTGAAATCAAGTAAGCATTTTTTTTTTCGTATTCTTTCTGACTTTCCTTTCTGTGCTGTGCTACTGGACAGAATGATTCTGTTGAATCTCATCCTCCCTTGGTAACCCCTCTTCCCTCTATCCCAAAGAGCACTGCTTAGAAAAGAAGGGCAGTAATGCAGTAGTTTTCTGTAAGTCTAGCCTATGATTCTTGGAGCCCCACAGCTCTGTGGACACACAGCTTGATGGAGATGGTGCCTTCAGGAGGAAGCTGCTGAGGGAGTCGGACTAGACCCTTGAGTATTTAGGGAGCAGTGGCTGTCCTGGGGCTTGGTACAGTGGAAGAAATGGGGAACCTCTCCAGCCAGTGACAAATGCTTATTGCTCTCTTCCAGTATCACTGGAGAGCAGGGCCAGGACCTGTCTGTCCTGTGGTGCTGTTATACTATGTGCTTACCTGGTAACAATGATGCTGTTGGTAAAGGCTTGGAAAACTTCTGTAGTCCAAAAGAGATGACTTATTCTCCCTTGGAAGCTTGTCAGGTCTGATAACATGCCAACAGGGCTGAAGCCTAGTGATTGCTGGGATACAGCCCTGCTGTGGCAAGCTGTGCTTAACATTTGCACCCGCTGGCTGGGGATGTTGAAGACCTTAACATGGGTTCTCAGTCACACACTGCTGGCGTGACTGTTCCTGAAATGAACATGCTACTCTTTTTTGCCTTTATCCCATCTGAAAACACTTAGCTTTTTATTACCAGAATTTAATAAAGCTTTGATTAAGAAAGAGTGCTCTACTATTGCAGACAATCTACTCTACAATAAATCACAAAGGCATATTGTCTGTCTCTCTCTTTTTCTCTGCTTCTCCTTTCCTTCCCCTCCCCCTTCTCCTTTTTCAGAGTATTAGGAATAAATGCATTTGTGAAAATTGTAGCCCTGGAAGCGGTGCTTAAATGAGCACGCTGCAATGGGATCATGTCTGAGTTGCAGCGGCTCAAGTGATGAATTCTGAAATAATGCCTCAGTATTAACCTTGCTGCTTAGATTTAAAGGTCACATTATTGCAGGAAGGAAAGACTTTCTGATTTGGGTACTAAGTCTTAATAAGGGGGTTGTGGGGCTATGCCACCGCTGCTTGCAATACAGAAGCAAAATTAGCCTTCAGAGCAGAAAGAAATTTACAGAGAAGGCTGGAAAAGTGTAGCAAGAGCTGAAAGCTCTTCTGGCCGCTTGAGCTTTTCTCCTGCACTCCTGTTTTATGGTAAGTACTAGGAATGGGAAATGAAATTCTGTTGTCCCAAGATATTTATAGGATAAGTTTTCTACTTGCAGGCTTGGTCTGTGTCTAGAGATGAGAACATTGTATAGAAGTGGAGGACTAATTACCAAGGGAAGCTGTGATTCTCCCAGTGCTAATTTTACTGGAATGAGTTAAGTTTTTTAAGCCATTTACTCTTAGAAATTTTCTGTGTGACTTTTCTCAGCCAATTTAGTTGTGAAGGCATCTTAGTTGATTCTTCCTTTTACACTTTTTGTGCTTTAGGAAGTGTGTAGAAACTTCTTCCAGTGTCTACTGGAAGAACACACTGATCATTCTGGTTGGTTGCTTCAGGTGCTTTCACAGAAGGTACCAAAAATGAACTCCAATGAGAATTTAGTCTATTGAGCAAAGTGGTCCGTACACCATCAATTTGTTTGGTTGCTGTGATGCACAGATTAGGGTCCTCATGTTCATTTGTACTGTTGACCATTGCAAACAAAGGCATTGCTTGGGAGAAACATTTCTTTGTTTTGGGACAACCTTCTCAGTTTGCTTTTGTACTCTTTTCTCCTTTGTCATTCACAACCAAACACCATTCTTGCAGCAACACCAGCTACTGCTTCCATGGAAAAGTGATTTTAGGGAAACATATGTTCTATTTTCAGCTGATGTTCTTTTAAGGCACTGGAACTGGGATTTGGGAAATGGCGCCAATAGTGCGCGACCAAATAGAGCACCACAGCCCTCAAGTCAGCTTGAACTACATTTTCTGATGCAGTCTGGTGCTGAGTGATGAAGAATGTCTTTTAGTTTTCTCCTTGTCCTGTAGCTCAGGACATGAGAAGCTCCAGGCTTCTGGAATAGACTGCTCTGGTAGCTGCATACAAATAAGCAGGCTGTGTCTTTTGGAAGGTGTGGGTCAGGAGATGTGAAAAACAGCTCTGGTTCTTCCAGAGATAAATTCACCATGTCTGGAAAAGAGCGGGATTCTTTTTCATGATTGCATCAGGACAGCTTTGTTTGTCACAGTTAACTTATTTATGCCCATGACCTTAGTTTCTCTGAATGTTGCAGGGGTTCTTAGGAAGTTAAAAATCAAATCTGATAAATGCTATAGCACTTGAAAATTGCTTATGAAAACAAGGGGTAAAACTGTAGGTGGCAAAGCACCCAGAAGCCCTTTAGCATGATTTAGATGGAATACAAACTAAATGGGAAGCAGGGATCTTGGAATGTGCTACAGTACTGAATCGGTGGACTGATTATTGTGAGCTTTTTTTGGAGGCTTGCAGTAACCCGCTTGCTGGGAAATGGTGGTGGGATTCAATTTTGCTGGGGGTGAAGGCTATAAAACAGACAGGACAAGAACACACCCATTCTTGAAGGTGTCCCTGTAGGGCTGTCATATCCTTAAGTGCTTCAGCCCAAAGTGATCACAAAGGTTATGGTTATACACGGAGCTGTGCTGGAGAGTAAGTGTCCCTCTTGCTTTTGGCAGCAAGCTGCAACGGGAAAACACAGTAGTTTTAAAGGGAGCAGGCAGATGGCAGTGTGTGTCCCTGATGGATTCAGAAACCCGTCTTCAGCTCCTCAGGCTTCCATAAGCTCTACTTGAGACTTTGTCCACCTGCAGAGCCAGGGGCTGTCTAGAAAGTTTTTGGCCTCTCTCTTTCCTAACAGAAGCTGATGCTAAATGCCCAATTGAGAGGTGCATAGCTGCAAGCAAGCTCTTCCAGGAAAGAAGGCATTGGTGTAAGAAAAAAAATTACCACTCCAGCTATACCTGGGAAATTGTTGCTGTTGTATTTCAAGGGCAGAAAGTATAAGATTGTCCAAAGAAATAAGTGATGGGATGCTACAAACTTGTTCTTCATCCACAACATGGAAGAAATGCTTGGAAACCTAGCGCAAGATGAGAGTGACCTTGGTTGTCCTGTTCCCCTATACATAGTGGAAATCAGTGATAATCATAGAGATAATGAAGGAATGAGGTGAATAATGGCAGAATAGAAGTTTAGGTCCCTTCTAACAACAGTGATGCATCTTTCTGTCAGTGAAGCTTGGATTACTGGTATAGAGAAGATGTTTCTTGTCTGACTATCAGCCAGTCTCTCACTCCTGACTTCTTATCTCTTTCTAAGCATCCCAGGGTACTTTACCGGTCCTTGCATGCTGCTCTCCCGGTTGCTGTTCTCCACCTGCCATGCCCACATGCATGCAGCGAACAGCTTGTAGCAAGTCCTTCTTCCATTGCCTTGCTGGTTTCTTTATATCTGTGGTCTCTCTGCTGTGCTGTTAACTCCCTCTAACTGAACTACGTTATTACACAGGCTGAACATGTTGCTTGGTAAGTATCTATAGTGGTGCTGAAGTGCCATGAGAGCATCAGGAGTTTTTTACTCTTCTTTTGGATGTTACAGTCAAGGTTTCCAGTGTCACACCTGTCCATCCTTCCTTCTTCAATTTCTAGATGCTTACTACAGCCCTGGGTGGGGATGAGGGGGTAGATACCGATAGCTCTACTGAGGTTGGGTAAGGCACAACATCCTTCCCAGAGTCTCTTCTCTCTGTCCCTTGGTACACCTACTACTTTTTCCAGCTTTCTTTGGCTTTGTTCTACTTCTCCTCTGTACATCTGTCTTTGTCTCTTGCTCCAATTCTGTCTTAAAGCCTGGAGAGCTCATCGCTAAGCCCTCCTTTGCCTGTGAGACGCCCAAGAGTGGAGGGGCCATACCCCAGCTGGAGCCTGTTTGAGCAGTGGTGGAAGACGTGGGCTGCCCTCCGTGTCGCTCTTAGCCATGGGCTCTATTGCTTTCAGTGAACTCAACCCCCCAAAATAAAACAGGCAAACCATTCCCTGTTTTGGAGGAGTGGAAGAAAACTGGACACCTGCTAGATAAGCGCAGACAAGGGCATATCTAGGGGTTTGGAGGCTGAAGGCGGTGTGATGGACCAAACCGGGCACTGCTGCCTGGCACCTCGAGCCACACGGTGGCGATGTTATTATAGGGATCCCTGCTTAATCCAATATTTATTTTTGTGAGTAATTTGTTTATCAGCAGGTTATTTTAATCTAATTTCAGCTGTATTTGTTATTCCTGACTATCTGTACTTCCCAGAATTTGCAGCTTGTGTGTCTTTAAGGAAATTAGCTAGAGCTGATCTCGGAGGCATTTGCTCAACGGATATTGAAGGAAAGGGCTAGGGAAATGGGCAGGGCCCTTGTTGCAATGCTTGTCTAGTAAAATTGTAATGAGCAATTTAAAAGGACAGGTTGTGGTGACCCCCTGATCATGCGTATTTCATCAAGACAATTCTGTGTGCTAACGGCAGTTATTGCCGATGGCCTTTGCTCTCTCTTTCTATATCTTTTCCTTCCTCCTTTTGTCTTCTTTATCTTCTTGCCTTCCCTTTTCTCCCTCAGCCTTTTATCTCTCATTTCCTGCTTTTTCCTCCTCATCTTCTGTCAACTAACCTTTATTTAACCTTTCACCTGCTCTTTTTTTCATCAAAGCATAAGGATTATATCTTGCAACTGACACGATAAAATAATCAGTGTCACTCTTTTCCTTTTCTGCTGGCATCAAGGAGGGGTAAGTAACTCTGTGAGAAACGGAAAGTGATGTTCCAGCACGCAAGCAGATTATGGTTTCTGAAAGGCCTGGACCCTCTATGTCTGAATTCATAATGCTTTGCAACAGATCTACTGACACAGGTCTTTGATCTTATGTCAAGATAGCCCTATGGTTAAACCATGTCAGTTCCTG